CAACCATGCTGACATATATCATAAGGAGTGCCCAGAAGGAGTCTGACAGGTCAGCACCATTTTTCCACTTTCAAAAGAACTCGTGAATAAGAAACAACATCGTCCATGAGGTCACGCTGCTTTACCAACCAATATTTGTAGCATGTGCAACTTGCCTGGATGATGCAAATTTTTTCCTGACTTATCGTAATTACTATGATGTTCCCTTCTTCATCATGTTGTTGTGCAACTATGCACCTCATGTTTCAGCTCCTTTCAAGACTTCAATGACCAGATACTTCCTGGTATCAATCCACTCCCTCGGTTGATTTTGAGTGGGAATGAATCAGGATCTTCCTATGTTCCCTGATTTTTGCTTACTTCTCTGTCCTAAGCAGTATCAGGCTCCTGGCTGTGTGGTCTGTGATGTGTGATAGTGGATATGATCACTATAATTCATTATTTCCTTAGTGTCTGTTTTCAGGTATAAGAAGTCTTTTGCACCTTGGAGCTTCAAGGATAATACAGTCCATTCCTCAGCTCCAAATGGATTTTACAACAAATTTTAAGAATTTATAATATATCATACAATTGTCAGCCAGTTTCATCCCAACTGAGGTACTTCGCAATGCTATGGAGGGCTAAAACCTGGGACTTGTTTCAGAGAGGCTGATATCTGGTGAATCTGTATGGGATCAAGACGTTTATAGTAGGATGACGTAGAGAGGCGTAAAGGTAAGCTGGGAATTGCCTAATAGATGCCAACAGTGAGTAAAATGATTACATACTACGAGGTGTAATTGCTTCTGTTTTGAATCTGATCAAACCTCATACACAAAAGATGCCTCAGATCCTCCTGGCTACCTGAGAAGCAGCATAAAAGCACGCACTGCTCACCTCTCCTCCAGCAGCTCTTCCTGACTTCTCCTCTGCGACTCAAGTAAGTTGTTCATTCTCTTTCCCTTTGCTACATACTCTTTTAATGATAATTCTAACTGAGTCTTATATGGGTATTTGCTGGTGCACAGCCTGGGCAACCTTTCCTTAAAGGCAGATTGCTGATCCTGCAGAGGATGTGGGGCTGGTGTTATCCAGTTCCTTGCGGGACCATGCTAAGTTCTGTACTTCAAGGGTTTTGAGACTTTTGGTTCCTAAACCTGCTATAGAAACTGCTGCAGTCAGGCAGTGTAACCAGTGTGTATAGACACAGCAGAAATGAGGATTGTTTGGAGGAGTTGAGAGCTTGGCAAGTAGAGAGGATAAATGTAACTCAAGGATGGGAAGACAACCAGGAACTACAAAGCCGTATCAGCTGTGCTCAGCAAACTACTCAACCTGGTAGCATCCACAGCAAATACACCTGGATGTGCAAACAGATCCCTGTCCCGCCACTTCATCCACATGTATTCCTCTGTCTTCCTCTGTTTCAGATCCACTTCCACCGCAGAACAATGTCTTCCTACAGACAGCTGTGCAACTACCAGTGCTTCAATCCGTGCGAGGTGGCCTGCCCACCACCCATTGCCAACACATGGAACGAGCCATGCGTCACATCATGTGGTGACTCCAGGGCAGTGGTCTACCCACCCCCTGTTGTCATCACTTTTCCTGGGCCAATTCTCAGCTCCTGCCCTCAGGAAAGCGTAGTGGGGTCCTCAGCACCAGCTGGCGTTTGGGGCTCACTTGGCTATGGGGAGTCCTATGGCTACAGAGGCTCTCTGGTTTATGGGGGATCACAGGGAAGCAAGTTCTCATACCCTTATTGCTCCCAGAGGTTCAGTGGCTATCGCTCTAGAAAGTGTGAGCCCTGCCAAACCCAGCAAGAATCTACTTGCAGCAAGAGCAGTCAGGAGACTGAATGCAAGATCCAAACTCAAGAGTAAGATAAGCAACATGAGTTTCTAAGATGCTGGCCTAAAAAGGATGATCCTTGTTAATGCTTTACAGTATATTTGTGCTCATATCTGCTTATATACCTCTTCCTCTGTTAGAAGTGTGCTCTTCTATTCTTCTTATGGTCCAGATTTTCAAACGTGTTAATATTTCTTCTATGCTCAATTGTATGTTATACAAGCATAATGGAAGAGTTGTGATGCTGTGACTTTTTTCACCTGACACTGCCCAGTGTCCATCAAGAGCTATGTTAAGGGATGAAAACTGGACTGCCTCATCAAACTTAAAGCTGCAGAAGAAGAGAACACTGTGCTTGAAATGAAGATTCCTGAAGAAGAAGCCTCGCTTGTTATAGCCTCTATTTCTGTTTTCTGTATGAACATGTTTTTTCTACTGTAAACTCCCTGCTCTATCTCCTATTAAAAAGTCACTTTGCATTATATTTGTATTCTTGTTTTCTTTTCTATATGTTTTTCAAGTCAACTTGGTAGAGACAATCTCCTGATCAGAGTGCTGGTGCTTCCATTCTAGTTAAGCTCCATACGAGAGGGGAGGAGAGACCTTAAATGACCAAAAGCATTATGTTACTTTTCAGCATAGCAAGTTTTCCCATGCTACTGATACATACTGGTTTGCTCAGCTGTAGGGAGAAGTATGTTAGTTTAAGGACTGATATATTACTCTAGCAGAAGGAATCAATGAGTGCTAATTCTAAAGCTTTCCATTTCAACTTTGCTTGGTGGGTGAACAACCTTCTTTTCTCTCAATTCTGTTCAACAAGAAGCACTTGAGTAATAATAGATGACTTATCTTTGCATTTCACGAAGTGCAAGGATGTTTTCCTTGGATTTCACATATACTGTTTTGGAAGTCACTCATTATGGCCTAATGAGAAATGGACATTTGCCAAACTGGGAAAAAACAGCGAAAGGTCAGCCAAAAGTCTCAGGAATGAAGCTGATGGTGGAAAAATGGGGATAAAGTAAGTGGGATACAACCAGCCTAGACTCTACTGCACAGGCCCAGAGGGCATATATATACTGGCATATATTAATGACTTCTTGGAGAAAAGAATGAATATGTATACCAATGTACTGCATATGTATGTCTTAACTGTTCAAATGTAGAACCTGAACTCTAAGATTTTGTGCTTGTTTGTCACATCACCTGGTATGAATTGTGAGGAATAAAGGAATGCTGCTTTCTGACACCATGTTGATGTTAGAGAGCTTTCTTGCCAAGTTTTGGATGATGCTGTGTTCTTGCTTTAAACTTTGCACAGGTAGGACTTACCGATGTCAAAAAATAATGAAGGGAAGGGAAGGGAAGGGAAGGGAAGGGAAGGGAAGGGAAGGGAAGGAGGCACAAAGTGATGTTCATGCTTAGACACAATACATGGAGGAAGCATAAGAAGAAAGCACAGGATAGTCAGCAGAAGGCAGCAGCTCATTAAGGACCCTCATCACAACATGGAGCACAGTTTTCATTCAGCAAAGACTTTACATCACGCATTTAATTTAATTGCACTTATCCTTAAGACAGTAAACTTAAACAGTTCTGGTCTTGAATAAGCAAGTTACTACGCAATACTCTTCTAAATGGATTTAATATAATAATAATGACACAGTAGTAATGTAACAGCTGTGAGGTTACTTAGCTAATTGCACTCAATTTACACCTCAACAACTGTTTATCGTTTCCAGATGGTCCTTAAGCACTGCTGGATCACTCCCTATTTATTGGGAGTTCTCTATGCTTCCTTCACTTTAAGGTACTTTTCTTGTGGTTATCTAAGCTACTTTCTGAAAGATGACTGTGTTGAATTCTTTCTTATTCCTGAGGTTTCTACTGAGGCTCTTCTTTGCACAGAAGCTGAAGGAGGGAATGATACCTGCTCTCTATTGTTTGCAATCCCAGCTGAGGTAACTTTATGATCTTAGGGAGCTGGTGTTATGGTTTCATGGCTGTCCATTGGTATTCCACATCATAACTATACCATGTATTGCAGTGGAGAAGTACGAAGGACTCAAATTTCTTTTATTTTAGGATTGGGTTTCAGCTATGGATAAAGTTGTCTCTGATGCTATGCACCTGGTAATATTTCCTCTCTGTTTCTTTATGCCACCTAGACTTAGCATAAGCTAATATTCACTCTCTATTTCTCTGCTATGTGGAATTGGGATGGCTCTGATTGAAAAGGCAGGGGAAGTAAGGATGAGTTACTGGAGTAGTTTTAGAGTGGATGTTTAGTATTCCACAATAGTCTTGATGCTTTTAACCAAAGGCTGGGCAGTTTTCTCACACGTGGTTCCTTGTAAAGATTAAATCATGCACGCCATCAAGCCTGGCATGTTGTAAGGAGAGTTATATGATGAATGGATCCTTAGGCACTGCGTAAACACTGCTGATGAGAGCACAGCATTAATCTCCTTAATCTTTGAGATAAGAGGGTGGTTGGGTTCAGTTGGTTTTCTGAAGCTGTGTTACTCCAAAACAGAGACAGCAAACGTGAATGGTATTTGAAGGCATTCTTAAGTATTTGTTGGGGGTAAAGAACTATTCCTCTTCAGCAAAGAAAAGGAACCAGTGCTGGATGGACTTGGCTGCCTCAAAAAAGGGACAGTTTAATGATCTGCCTCAACTGTGAACAGACACTGAAGGTGCACAGTGTTCTTATTGCTTGGAGTTTAAGGCTCAGATAGGTTGGATGACTCACAGTGCAGGATCCCATCTGTGGATCTTTCCCATTAGACAACAGGACATTAGACATATGGCAGTAAAAATGCTATTGAAGAAATAACGCATGGACCCCAAAGAACATAAACACATGTGGATTGGTTTCAATAATGCTAGTTTTTATTACTGTGATATTGAGGAACACTTTGCATAATGAAGACTTGAATTTCTAAGAGTGGAAAAGATACATTTTTGAGTAATATTACTTAAAAGCCAAAAAGACTGTAAGAAGAAGGAGGCAGAAGAGCAGTTCCATAGACTGGTGGTTCCCATGGGGCTCAAGGGAACAGCTGGCAGCTGTGGGCAAGCAGGACTTTGGGGTGACCCTCAGCTCTGCTACACCTCCAGCTCCTGCTGTTGGTTCCTCGCCATTTCTCTACCCCTGCACACCTTTAGCAGGGCCTGCAGTCCCTGTAGCGCTGGCTCCTGCCTTGCTGGAAGGAGGAGAAGGAGCCTCCGTAGATGGTGGAGCCCTGCAGGCCCCTGGGCTGGTCCAGCCCCAGTGGGGCTGAGCTGCCCACGATGCTCTCCTGAGGGCAGGAGCTGAGGATGGGGCCTGGGAAGGTGATGACCACAGGTGGAGGGTAGACAATGGCACGGGAGTCCCCGCAGGAGGTGACACAGGGCTGGCTGCAGGCATCAGCGTAGGGCTGTGGGCAGGTCACCTCACAGGGTGGCTGGCAGCGGGAGCTGAGCTGCTGGCTCCAGAAGGACATCTTTAGGGTGGGGAGGCAAACCTGCAACACAGTGGGGGAGCTGAGTCCTCCTAGCACCCACAGTCCATCATAGGGTCCACCATGCTCAGCCCCCATGCAACCCTTTCATCCTCTCCCCCAGGTTCTTCACAGCTTTCCTGCAAAGCTATGGGCTGAGACAGCACGAACCTTAACTCTAAAGAGGACAAAGGAGGTTAAAGAATCAAACTTACCTGTCTCAATGAGGAGGAGAAGTGAAGTGCTGTGGTTTGAAAACTTCTGAGCCCGGAGCCATTATATAGAGCCATTATATACCATCCTGTGTTGCCTGCGGGAATTGAGACATCATTTCAAGTTCATTTTGTTGCAAAACAGAGCAGTGCGTGTCACTCCCCAGGCTTCTATGATTGCTTTATTCAGTCTTTGTCTGTACAATTATCAGTTTCTCCCAACACCCTCGTGTTTGTTCCTAAGATTTTTGAAGCCACTTCACTTCCTGAAACACAGATGATGATGATTATTATTTTTTTCCTTTCTGAAGTCCCGAAACTGTTGGAAAGCTATTTATGCAAATACTCCACTTTAGCAAGCATGTGCCAAGCACTCTTCAGAATCATAAGTAATGCAATGCTCTGTGGGGGCTGATTTTCTTCTCTTTAATTCTTACTGATGTGGACATGAAGCGCTGCAGGGCTTAGATTACAGGTGGGAGGTCAGTGGATGCTTGCAGTGTCCTCAGAGATCCAATGCATCACAGCTGGTCTGCATGAAGAAAAGCAAGGGGTAAAGTCTTGTGTATCTCTTGACATTGCTAGTGAAAACGTGACAGTGGTCCCCAGTAAAGCAATAAGGTATCTGGAGCTAAAATGCAGTCATGAATAGAAAGGGAGAATTAAAAAAAACTTTCTGGTAGAGTATCTTTAATGACTCTAAAGAGAAAAAAAAAAAAAAAACAAAGATAAATGGAGGGAAGCCCATTGGATGACTTCTTCTGAGGAAGAATGCCAAGGAAACCCTGAGCTGAGTAATAGTGTGTCTGGAAGCCATTAGGAGAGTGAGGAGTGATGTGCAGCCTGTATGTTCCGGGTTTGTCAGCTCAGACACGAGTTCTCTCTGCTCAAGTCGCTCTCAGTGAAGCCACAAGAGCGCAGTGCTGAGTCCTGCCTTAACCCTATGGTTATTTATTCTGTGGTCAGTTAGGTTTTGTGGCCACCCCAGCCACAGTTTAACTCTGCCACAACCACAACAGTCACATTTTTGGCTTAAACTATAGTCATGGCGAGGCATATGTGTTATTTTTAAAGCACTGATAAATACTTGTTCTCAAGCAGAAAATACTGCTCAATCTTCCTCGTTGGCAGTGACTCCTTCTCCATTGCATTCTCTTCTCTCTGAGGTGTCTCATCCATTTGGGTGTTCTTAGTTGATGGGTGCTGTTAGTTGACTCCTCCTAGGGTGTAGTAGACGTGCCATTGCAACTTGGGTGTGCAAGACAAATTCCACCCACTCTGTATGAGATGCACTCATGGATGGATGATTCCATGGGCTTGGAAAAATCACACAGAAACATTTTGGCATCATGGTCTATGTTAGGATTTCATTGAGAATCTGGAATGAAGGGTGTCCAATTGTTGATTGCGGTGGTCCTCTGAACCAGCTGGCAAGAATTGTCCACCATTCTCTTAAAGAAATAATCTGAAATCAATTCATGAAAGCTTTGCAGGTACATCTGAATGTCTTTTTTGATGGTGTTGAACAAAATTATTTTTATGTATAGGAAGGTTTTTTTTACACTAATTTAGGGAATGTCTTTGATAGTTCAAATGCGAAGGATCCACATTTGTGGTACTGTCAACTGACACGCAAGGAATATATGCAAAGCTTTTCTGTGCTAAATTTGCTTCTCAATAAACTACTTGTCTCTGAATACTGTTTTATAATGCATTTGCACTGACAGTAATGGCTGAGTTGTTCAGACCAGCAAAACGCATATAAGAGAAAAAACATTAAGATGGGAATCCAGACCCTGCTTTTTAAAATACAAAAACTTGAAGCATGGGGCTGCCACTGTAAACACTGTGAGTCAGAAGAACAACTTTGGGGTGTCAGCAGTATCAATAGATTCTCCTATGCAGTTTCCTCTGCCCTTTCTGGAGGGCAGGATGCTTTGGAGAGGGCTGCATCTCCAAGAAATATATGATTCATTTGCAAGTAGCACCATGGCTGTCATCGCCCATCTCTAAACCAAGTGAAACCAGGTGTGGTTGAGGCAGCAAAAAGAGCCCGGGTGGGTCATTTCCCCAAAACATGTTCCTTCCTCCTTCTTCTCTTTGTTTCTGTTGGTGTCTCTTGTTTGTGTGAGTCTTTCACTACCGGTAACTTCAAAGGTGTCTGTAGGCATTGCTGGGAATTGACAGGGAAGCCCCAAGGCAGCCCTGGGAGAGGCTCCCCAGCCTTTTGCAAGGGTCACCTTGCACAGCATCATTTATACTGATAACATTTAGCAAATGCAGGGGTTGAACTGGAACAAAAATTGTGTTTTGGAAGAGGAGTCAAAAGATTACTCAAAATCAGGGATTCAACCTCAAACTGTCATGAAAGAGATAGATTTTAGAGGTGGAGAACACACCACCTTGAGGAGAGAAACAAGCTTTAGTAGCATTACATCAATGTGAATACACAAAATGCATAGATTATACTGAAAATAATTTTATTGGTAAATAACTGGAGAATTGAAAGCAGGGTATTGGATCAGCAGAATAGAGCTGCCAAAATAAGCAGCCAATCTTTCTGCATCAGCTGGAACCACACTTAAAGATTTCAGCCTCAGGTTTCCATAGGGTGATGCATGGTTTGGCTCTGAGATCTTCAATAATGACCCCATGGAGTCCGTGATGATGAAAGCTGGACAAAAATTTCCCATTGTCCAGGGTCCCTATTATCCGTGGATATAACTTTGTGCTGTCAGAGCTTCAAGTGGGACGGATGATCTGTGTTTGTTTCTTGGCCGGGAGGACTGTAACAAATGTTTCCCACCTCTAAACCCATTAACCCACCTCTAAACCCATTAAGCTGTCGCAGAAGGTGACTGTAGAGCCTAATGTGTCTCATGTAATTCATAGGAAATAATACACGTGGGTATGATGCGAGGAGTTGCACAATGGCCCCTTACTGAGTGATAATTTGGAAAAGTGGCATCCCAGGTACTGTGTTTATGGATAAATTTCTGAGCAAACTTTGGTCTATGAGGAGTTCAGAGAATTAAGGGGAAAAAAATCATTCCAGATCAAGAGGAAAAAAGATGTATATATACCTGTAAGGAATTTAGAGCTTGAAGCTTCATGAGGAAAGCATTCATAAGGTTTTTCCTGTCATGGTAACAATGACAAGAGCACAATAGCAATCACTGTCACTGAGCAAAATAATTGCATTATCTGGGGCAGTTACAGGTGGAGTGAATTTCTGTTTGATAATGCATTAGGACGTCACGTGTGAGGAATGTCTCACATCCTCCCGATTGCCCAAGAAAGAACATAAAAGCACTCACAGTGCTGGGCTACTCCAACCGACTCTCATTGCTGCTCTGTGCTGAGGAGGGGTAAGTCTGAGGCTTTTTCCTTCTGTTTTTATGATATTTCTAGAGCACTGTTGGATTTGAACTGGCACAGAGCTATGATTTTTAGAAATGATAAAAATGGTTGAAGCTTTCTTTTGGCGAGGACTGTCTTCCAGGTAGTATCAGGCTGTAAATGGGCAAGAAAAACACACTCAGAGCAGTTTAAGGTTTAGAATAAGTGAATTTAGATATAGTGAAACGTAGTGAATTCCTGTGTCCTGCAGCTTGACCGTTCCTCCTTTAGGAATTTGCCTTCTTTTGTACACATTGACCTCCATAACAAGTGAACTCTGGCTCTAAAATTGAGCAAGAAATATACTTCCAGCCATACAGTTTTGTCTCATTATTTGCAATTATTTGAAACTATTATGAGTTAATTGGAATCCTTTCAGGCATCATGCTATGTTGTTACAGTCAGGGCTTTGCTACTGCTCTTCAGTTCATTTTATGAGTTTCCACAATTTAGAATTTGAGGGGAATTGCAAGGAATGTCTACAGGATTTGGGAGTAATGCTGTCTCTGACAACAAGCTTGCCCACATTTAGCCCTGTCCCTCCTGTTACTTCACCAAATGGCTCTGGACAATGCATTCATTTCTCAGCCTCAGTTCCCTCTTCATTAAAGCTGGAAAACCAATGACTTGCCTTATGCAGTTGCTGCCACAATCACAGGCTATGCAGAACTCACCAAGGACATTCCTACATCCTGATCTTCCATCCTTTTCTTGCCCTGGCATTGTGTTTCAGATCCATCTCCATTCCTAGACGATGTCTTGCTACAGAGAGATGATCAGCTCCCGCTGCCAGCCGCCCTGTGAGGTGACCTGCCCACAGCCCTACGCTGATGCCTGCAGCCAGCCCTGTGTCACCTCCTGTGGGGACTCCCGTGCTGTTGTCTACCCCCCACCTGTGGTCATCACCTTCCCAGGCCCCATCCTCAGCTCCTGCCCTCAGGAGAGCATCGTGGGCAGCTCAGCACCAGCCGGCATTGGGAGCTCATTTGGATATGGGAGTTCTCAGGGTCCCGTGGGCTCCTATGGCTCTAGGGGCCTGTACAGATATGGGAGGTCCTTTTCCTCCTATGGGTATGGTGGTTATGGTGCTGGGAGCTGCAGACCGTGTTAAATGCACAATGAAAAGGAGCCATCACCCAACGCAGAGGAAGATGCACTTCTGCAAACTCTGATGGTGGTGTGGCTTTCCTGGGGCATGAACTGTACATCTCTCAACACCACACTTGCATGCAACTGTCAGGCTAATGATTTAGTTTAATTCTCTGATTATTTTCTGCAGTGACTCCATACAATAACATCCTAGTTATATAACAAAGATCTTTACTTGTTGAAAGCTGGGCTAGATTATGTAAATCTTCCCCTGCTCTTAAAGAGTAATGTGTGTGGAATGCACAGCCTTGGAACAATTCTTTGCCTTCAGTCTTTAATAAGAACTTGACAATGTATCACCTGTATTTTTTGTTTTCCATCCATCTTCTTATCATTATTCCCTCATTAAATTTTTCTGCATCAAAACTCAGTGTATTTGTCTTTTTTTTTTTTTTTGGTCCCCCATACTTTATATACCACTCTTGTTGAGTATCAACCTTTGTAGGCAGTCATATGTCTGCACTCCTTCAGCACCTCAAGCTGGAAAATGACCAGGTCCTTTAACAACATGTGAAGTGCCTTCTGCACAACAGTGTTCTACACTAAATAAACATGTTTTGTAACTCATACAACCAAGTCTGAAATTTCCTCCAGGAAAGGCGTGGTTATGATGTGTGTTAGCTACATGCCAGCAAAGAAAGCTACAAACGCAAGTGATTTTGAAGGTCTTTCCTGTCTCACTGCTTGCCCAAGGCTCTGACTTAATTATATACCTTATGTTGGTTTTATGATGTTTTCTATTTTTGAAAAATAGTTCTACTCTACGGGTAGAACTTTCCCTGGAATTGCCATCCAGAGCCTTAAACTGAATGGCAAGTCTTTGCCAAAACGCTGTGAATTCTTGGATTTGCCCATCAGTACCTCTAAATTCTTGGCAGTCCTAGCTAAAGCAAGTAGGAGAATAATTCTTAAGTCTTCCCTACGCATATAAATCAACTAATATTTTCCACGTCAGACTTGCACATTAATTCCAACCTACTCATAGATGGATGTGAATTCCAGGCACGTTCAGCACTTCCCTCTGTTGAACAGCAACAGGGTTCCAGGCTGTTGGTTTTTAATAGCTGTGTTTTGCACAGCTGTCATCATCTGGTGGCATCCTGCTTGCACAGAATGGGGAGGAGAAGAACACTTGCCTCCTCCCAGCAGCTCTTGTGGTCGCAGTTCCAAACTGGGCTCCAATGGACCAGAGGTCAGACATTGCTCAGCACTTCTGTTGCCTGTGTGAAATGCAGTGTGGTGACAAATCTCACCTTGCTCCATCAGACTAATTCCAGGTAAAGCCCAGAGTCATGCTGGAGAAATTCATTTGGGCAGGATGGAGCATGTGGCAATAACTTCAAAGAGACTAGAGGTGTGACTTTGGTTGTAAAACAGGCTGGAGTGAGAAGAAGCTGCAGATTGATGGCCAGGCAGCAGCTCTCTGTTGTTAGGATATGTCTGAAGTCTTTGTCTTGTGCTCTGGGTGATTATTCCATCACAAGGATTCTGTCAAAAACAAACAAACAAACAAACAAAAAACCACCATCCATTTGCACAGGTATGCAGAGAATGATGGCAACCACCGAGATATTTTCAAATCATATTCCTATGCCATTGATATCTACAAGTGATGCTCTTTTCTGTGGGATTATTTTCGTTTCACACGGACCCTCTTCTAAGCCCATCTCGCTGCACCTCTGTGCTGAGCTTGCAGCAGCTTTCGCTTTGAACTATAGAGGTCACTGCACTCTCATCTACATGTGTTCCCACCCTAGAACAAGGTAACACGATCAGCAGAGGTGGTGCAATTAGAAGTTGATTCATGAAGATGTTGTAAACACAGTCCATAAATACTCCTCCGCACTACATCACACTTCAAGGCAGGTACCCGTGGGAGCTAAGCCTCTGGTATCTGATTTAAATACATGGATTCACTGTGTATCTACTCCCTACTCAAGCCTAATGGTTTTTCACACATTCAGACTCTCACCGCTGGTTGATGTCCCATAGGTACAATGAGTTAGAGCAGCAGGACAGAACTGTGCCCTGCTGGTTGCCAGCTTCCTCCAAGACTTTAATCCCAAAGCAATTACTGGCCTCTTTACAGTCACCTTTTTGCTGCCTTTTGCTACTTTTGCAATTGGAGGATCTGGACTCAAAAGATTCAGATGTTTTAAATGAAATGATCCATCCCTGGGGGTGTCCAAGAGCAGGCTGTATGTGGCCTTGGGCAACCTGGGCTAGTAGCAAATCTGGATGCCATGGCCCTGCTTATGTCAGAGGATTGGAACTTGGTGATCCTTGGGGTCCATTCCAACCCAAGCCATTCTATGATTCTATGATTCCATGATCTATCAGAGAAATCTGAAGAAGCAATTTTTTTTTTGCTGTTGTTTTTCCTCCCCTTTTACTTATAAGACAAATTCTGCAATAAGTCATGTCTTGTGTCTCCTGAGTTTCCTCTGTCCTGTATGTATCTTTCAGCTAAAATAAGAAAGCAGCCATGGAAATGTGTCAGTTTAATTATCTCGTTTTCAGTTCTATCTTTTAAAAAATGTAATCAGGATATTTTCTATCTTAAACATCATCATAATGTACTCATATGCTCCAGCCAGAACAGCAACTTAAGTGACAGACAAATCTGAGTTTTGATATGGGAACTGACATTATAGAAATTCTCTCCATCCCAGTGTATACAAGACAGGAATGCTCCACTCTGTGCTCCTTATCTGCTACTGTTTTTCTCTCTTTCCTAAAGGAGAGGAGAGTGGAAATGAAGAGTAAACCAGTAGTATAGAAAGTTCAAAACAGAGAACATAAACCCAGTGTCTGATGGGGACATTGCAGAGAGCTCAGTCCTGTGCTTTGCCAGGCAATTCCTATGTTGCCTAATATTTTTTCTCAGTACAGAAAGCACAGCCTTCAATCTCTGCGACAAAGATGTCTATCTGAAAAAAAAAGGAAGCGGAGGGTGGTGGAGGGAGAGCAGTGCTGCTTATGCTCTGCTTGTCCTGTCTGCTTGCTCTGAAAGCACTTGAGGGCAGGGTTTGGCTTTATTCTTTGTTTGCATAGCACCAAGCATGCCTCATTTGCAGCTTCATTACAATTTGACCCGGTGTATTACCACCAGCTTAAAGCTCTGTGTCTGCTGCTCCTGATACTGAACAACAGTTATTTCTTCAAGGGGACAGCGATTATTCCTTTCTCACTGGGACAGAAAGGCCACAAGTAGGGATGTCAGATACTGGGGGATGTCTGAGCAATGGCAGTGCTATAGGTTGAGCATCTGATGGATGAATTTTTTTGGTGCACATTTACATTTGGAAAGACCTCTGCTGGGCAACACCTCAGTGGCATTTATTCTCACCCTGAGCTTAACATTGAAACCTACGATTATCCCTTTGAATGCTCTCAGAAAGGCCCCACTGCAATCACGTTTGCATAACCTGAGTTAAGATACAACCTTACTTTAAACCTCTTGTGCCTCCAGAGGAGGGAAAGCTCTTCCTCAGGGGTGTAATTATAGAAACAGTTGTGACACTGTGTAGCTTCACTCCGTAATGTAGTGTTTCATAGGAGCAGTTCTCAATTACCAGCTTGGGTCTACTCGTGGGAGAACACTGTGGAAGGGAAACCAGGAGGCTGCTGTGTGATGCAACAAAACTTTAATGAGAAAGAAATGCCTTTGTTTGCAAAGCAAGATATCATAGAATGTGAAAAAAAAAAACCAACAAAAAACAACAAACAACTGCTTCCAGACAGTTCCAGAGAATGTTCAACGAATGTCCTGCATAGAGATGAGAGACTGCTGTCCTCAGCTGGCTTTGTTCTCAGCAGCTGTGCAGCTCCTGGTGAAGATGCCATTAGGAGTGATGCTTATGTTGCGTGTGCTACCCACAAAACTGGGACAGCTGGAACAGGTGATAACAGTGAACACCGACCCAGAAACTGAAGGGAAAACCAAAAACAGATGAAAGACCAGAAATGCTAAGTTGAAACCGGGCTGCTGGTGCGCCAAGCCCCGTCCTCATTGCTCTGCTTGGGCCTTCATGCGAGATTCCCCTGCCCTTCTGCCCTTAGCAGGGCCCACAGCTGCCCCGCAGGATCCTGCTGTAGCGACGAGAAGAGAAGGGGCTGCAGAACCCACCGCCGAGCGTGGAGAGGGCTGAGCTCCCGTAGCCATACTGCGCTCCGTACCCTAAGGAGCTCCCGATGCCATAAGAGCTCCTGGAGCCGTAGAGGCCCCCCAGCCCCAGGGAGCCCCCAAAGGCGGGTGCTCCGGAGGAGCCCACCACGGCTTGCTGGGGGAAGGAGCTGAGGATGGGGCCGGGGAAGGTGACGACGACGGGTGGTGGCTGGATGAGCGCTGTTGAGTCGGGGCATTGCCGGACGCAGGCATCATTGCAGCTGTTGGCAATGGGCTGTGGGCAGGCGATGCTGCTGGTGGTGGGACACAGGTCGTAGCAGGACATGGCTCGGCAGAGAGGTGATTCTGAAAGAGAGGGCTGAGTGAACACAGAGCACGAGGTGTGCCGGAGCACAGCATTTGCTGCTGGGTTGTTGGGGAGCAACCCAATGGCGGGCTGATGCACAGGCAAAATTGGTGACACTGCTTAAAGGCTTTCTTGTGCATCAGCACCGCTTTGATCTTCCCCATCCAGCAATCCCTGCAATTGTCACTTCCACCTCTGCCTTCGGAAATTGCTGCTGCTGGTTGTTTGCTTTTTTGTTAACTGCTTCCAGGAGGAGCAGAAGAGCCAGGAGCACTTTATGTGCTCAAACACAAATGTTCTCTTCCCTGGGGAATGTGCCTCAAAACTACCAGAACTGACTTCTTCATTGCACAGAATGGGATAGAGGCAGGTTTGGGCTCAGGAAGTATGCAAAGGAGACATGGACACAGCACTGCTCTAATTGCAGGTATCATGCTCCTTCTCTGTTTTTTTCCCTTTTCTTTTCTGTATTTTTTCTTTTGTTTTACGCTCTTTGGGATAATTCACTTCCAGTGTTCTCTTTCAACTCTACATTCCCTTAATCTCTGTAATCCCCCTGGTAAAATCCTAAATAATTAGAGCCCAAGAGGAATTTGAATTCATGATTCATATACTTGCAATATTAAATATAGATACCCCATGAAATATTTCTGTCCAAGTATTTCTTGGCATAACATTTTTTCTACAGAGCGTGGAGTAAGTTGGAAAATGTAAAGAGCTGATTTCCTTTGTCAGATAAACACAAGGTTATAAGATAACACAAATAAGATTTCTATGTGTATAATTCTCTTTGCTCAGCTGACTTCTCAAACAGCTTTGTATACAGCCATGGTTTAGGTATTAGCTGACGTGCTACAAGAGAATTTTGCATTTTGAAGCTTCTGCCATCTGATATTTTCAATCTGCTCGCAGGATGGGAATAGGAAAATAAGAATAACAGAATTCAATGCCCCAAGCCCTGGTCTTGACCCTAAAACTTGCCAGTAACACAGCTTGCAAATAATAAAAGAAAAGATGAAGAGAGAAAGGAGAAAAAAGACAAAATCTCACCTGATATGGAGGAGAATCTTCAGGAGGATTGGAACTGAACTGCACAGGGCTCCTTTTATACAGCTCTCCCCAGTGCCTGGGGGGTCTGAGGCACTGCACACATGAGGTCATAGTCATAAAGCAGCCCAAATCTGAAGCACACTGAGCTTCCCAAAATGATGAAATTGTTTTTGCTTTGCTGTTTGCAAAATCATCCTAAATCTCTGAGTAGCGTAGTAGGCACATTCCAGCTCCCTGCACTCTTTCATCTCAATGTTTAATTGACCGGCTGCAGTGCTGGTATCATTCCACCCTCCTCACTGGCATCACAGGAGGTATTAAACTGTTTCTATTTATTTAGCACTTCCTTCATTAACTTCCTGTAATGATTTTAATCAGAGCTGTAGCTTGCTGTGCATGTTTGCATTTGAGCTCTGCAGATCTGGGCTATAATCTGATCTGCTCACGCGTTTTGCAATGAAATGGTCAGTGAGATGGAATCCAATTTCTGCTCCCACCTACAGCCCCAAAATGTGGGGGTGAATGCATCCCTGTGGAAAGCCACAGTATGGAAAGTCTATCGGCTTTGATACAGAAATGCTGAATTTTCCTTGCTGCCTGGGAGCACCAGCAGAAGAGATTGCTTTAGCACCTGAAACAGTGATTAAAATGAGATCTGAATGGATACCAGTGTATTTCACAGTTTGCCCCTATCTACCCCTCTGCCTTATAGAAGAATTGAATTTGTGTTTCACTGGATAAACCCAAAGAAACAACTTTAAATTCTTTCTTCCTAGACATGCTGGCAGGTGTCAGGAAGATGGAATATTACAGGAGTAGCATTATTTTCCTTCTCTTTCTTCCTGGATCAGCAAAACATCTCCTGCAGTGTGATCTCCTTGCCAGATTCCAAGTGATGTGTAAAGCACTGATTCAGGCTTTCCCTGTGCTCAATAGGGAGGAACAAGAATACTACAAGACACTCATGCTGCCTCATGCTTCTCTTACTGGTATTTGTATCGTCCTCAAAACACATCAATTGTGCTGTCGTTGACACAGTGTGATTAATGAAAAACACAGCTTCTAAGCAAGTGAGATGCATTGAGAGGCATCCCACCCATATTCCAAAATCCTGGGCAACAGACAGTGCCCAATCCGCCCCTGCATTTCCCCATTTGCTCATGGGTCAGTTGATGTTAAATAGCAATCACCACAATATTTGTGCCAGAAATTATCCTTAATTTATGAGGGTTTTTTGAGGCAGCCTTGGGGGATCATGGCACAATAGCACTCATAAGGGATGTTAAATTAGTTTTTGTGTGTGGTTTTTAAGTGCTTCGTAAAGCATTTCTAATGGCTTAGGTATGAACTGGTGTATCATCATTGACATACAGGTGTGTGGTCAGATTTGAGCAGCCCAGAGCTTTGAAATGTAATTTTGAAATTGCATTGGTCAAGTGCATTCTTTCTGTCCTTTTCACCAGATCATGATTTCCAGCATCAGGCTTTTAGCTGATTTCCTGTTCCAAAGGAGTTCTTCATTAGTTCTGGTTGTGGCACAGAGATCTCCAGCCTCATGTTTGGCAGCTTTCCCTGGTGCTTTCTAAGCCTACCTGTGAGCTGTCTCCCTTGGCTCTATGACTGAAACACATGCTTGGCTTCCTCTAAAATACATATTCCACAAGCTAGCTGTCTTTTATTGCGGCAAATTGATCTACAGAACTGGGTAGTTTGCCACACAGGGCATGGGGATGAATGGTTTAAAAAATGCTTTGTAATGTTTCTCTTGATTTTTCACCCAAAAAGTGCAGGATGGTCCTGTTCCACCCTCATGTAGATTGTTGGTTTCGCAAGAAAGACGCCGTGGTTTGTCTCAATTATACGTTATCTAGCATGAGTAAGAAAGGATGGAAAGAAAATCTGCATATGAAAGCAGATGGCAATTACAGTGGACTTCTGAGCCACCATCATTATGTCAGCTAATAAAGAAGAAGAAATAAGTGAAGCCAGCACAATTCCTCCTGTCATTCTAATGTAGTTAATGGAACATTACCAGGAATGAATCTTGCCAATTAAGTGTTAAGATGAAAGAAATGTTTGTTTTGTAATTCGCATTTCCTGCAGAGTGAGAATTTGAATCAACTAATAAACATAAATATTGAGCAAAAAACTGATTCATCATTTTGAGGTGAACCACCTATGATAGATGTGGGCTGGAGTTAATAGGAGCCTCAGGTCCTCCAGGCAGTTCGAGGAAATGCATATAAAGCCCTCCTCAGAACAGCCTTATATTTGTTTGTCTTGCCTTCTTCTTCTTGGAGCCAACTGTTTTCTAGATGTCAAGCTGTTGATTTCTGTGACATTTTGAAATACTCTTTTGTCACTTACGAGGTGACAATGTTATATTCTGATTTTTAGGACCCAGCTGCTATTTTTCACCACGTATTCTCAGGAGCTGCCAGCTCTCCATACGACCAGATCTTAGGGTTACACTCTGCTGAACAGAAACCCAAACCCCTGCAGCCCTACAAACTGCACTCTTACCCTCCCAAGACCTCAGTCAGGACCTTATTTAATAAAGAACGTGTTCACTTGGTCTTCCAGGTGCCATTTCAACTTAGTTTGCATGGAAGAAAGCCAAAGCTTTAAAGGAATGTGAGGAAAGCTTCCTTGGTGCAAAAAGAACCCCCTGGGTGCTAGGAGTTGGGTGAGCTTTCTCATTCAATAATGGAATGCATCCAGATTTTTACACTTAGCCTCAGACCATGTAGAACTGACGTTTATCAGAGACAAGGCACAGAACAAGAGCAGCCATTTACCTGGTGAAGCATGTGACCTTCTACATTTCTTTTTTTCCACTACACAATGATTAACTATTATCTAAAAATATTTTCCTGGAGGGCTCATAGACTTCTGAGGAACTCCATTTACCTGACCAGGTAGATCTTGGCTGGCTGACTGCAGTTGGGTGGGGTGGTCTGGGGTGGTCTGGAACTATGTGTTGCTATGCCTTTCCCATCACCATGAGATTCTGAGCTTCTCCTGTTTTAGGGAATCTGTGCAATTATACTTTTTGCCAAGTTTCCTGCTGTTCACTCTATGTCTGGCTCCAATGCCAACAGCTGCCCTGAGTTGAGGGCGGTGAATCACTACCACATGTTGGCATCTCCTCCCAGCCTGATGCTTGGTTCCTTCCCTCAGGACAACACAGTGGGATCCTTGGCAGCACGCACATTTTGGGGCTCCTCTTAACAAGAGCTTTGATTATACTGGTCTTTCCCACCCACTTAAAGGCAAGGCGGTGAGTTGTGGATCCTTTCTGGCTGCTGTTCTGCTGTAGATAAATATGTAGCCTAAGATCTTTTGGCAGCAGAACCACGGGAAGAAACCATTTTATAAGATAAATATCTGCTTCATTAGGAGACAGATGCTCTTCTGATAGCAGATAGACCAGATGTGCTGCAGTACTTTTACTTGGTTTGAGGCTACCCATAGAATATTTATAGAAAATATATTTATATTTGATAAGTGCGTTACTTACAGAGAACCAAAGAACTCCCAAAACCAGTAACCCAAACAGTACTTCTGTGAATATATACAAATGGATTGGCAGAAGTGTCACCTACACACAGCCAGGATTTACAGGAGAAAGACACTTCAAAAGGCTGGACTCAGGCAGATTTGTGCCAGAGAAACACAAATTCCAAAATTAACTTGGTATCAGCTACCAATCTTCCCATAAGGGCTGTGGTTAGATTACGTTATGACATCAGATTAGAAGTCTGCAATGGAATAAGCAAGGGCTCAATGTGTGGTTAGTTCAAAGTTTTATCTCACACTCACAAGTGGGAAATCTAATGGAGTAATGTGCCAAGAAAGCTCCTGCTCATCTATGGCAGGTGTGTTGTGACCACGTTGGTGCTGATCGGTGGTGAAACAAATCTAGAAAG